GGGACCAACCAGTTGGAAAGCAGCTTGGCAGAAAAGGACCTGAGGTCCTGATGGACAACTTGAACATGAACCAACAACATGCCATTGTATGAACCAACATGAACCATGCATGAACCAACAACATGCAAAGGCAGCCCTGGCTGCATTAGGAAGAGAGTTGCCAGCAGGTCAAGAGATGCAGTCCTTCAATCCTTCCCCTCTACTAGGCACTGGTGAGACCACAGCTGGAGTGCTGAGCTCCCCAGTACCAGGAAGACACCAACATACTGGAACAAGTTTGCTGACGGGCCTCGATGCTGATTAAGGAACTGGAGCATCTGACCCCAGCTGAGAGAGCTGGGACTGTTCAGCCTTGAGAAGAGAAGGCTCAGGCACAGAGATCCTATCGATGTGAAAATACACCTGATGGTAGGGTGCAGAGAAGACAGAGCCAGATTCTTCCCAGTGGTATCCAGCAACAGGACAAGAGGCAATGGGCACAAAATACAGGAAGATTCCATTTAAAGGTAAAAAATGCCCACATTTTTACTGTAAGGGCAACTGAACCCCAGGCCACGTTTCTCAGAAGGGCTGTGGAATCTCCATCTTTGGAGATATCCAAACCCCAAATGGACACAGCCCTGAGCAGTGTGGTCTAGTTGACCCTGCTTTGAGCAAGGGGCTTGGAACAGATGATCTCCAGAGGTGCCTTCCAACCTCAACCATTTGGTGATTATCAGGAGTTCAGAGCTGCTCATTTGAAGTCAGTCACTTTCTGCTCCTCAGACCACATCCATCTTGTAGGTATTTCAGAGTTTTTTGCCACAGCACCCTTTCTCTGCTTAGTATTTTTAGCTCATTGTTTTGTATTTTGCCAGCTGAGAAACTGCAGTTTGTAATTTTACCTTCAGCTTCATATTTCTTCTTAAAAGTGAATACAATGTCCTGTTTATAATAATAAAATCACTAGTTGGCAGGATGACATCAAATGGAAAAAGAGAAAGCAACTGGAAAATTTAGAGCAAGCAATTTTGAGTGCCAAGTTTCACATTTGTAATAGTCCAGCGGAGGTCAACAGGCTCACTTATTATTAGGCAAATGGTAAAGAAATAGATATCCTCAAGTTCTTCCATGTTAGACTACATAAACCATCTCTACTTGAACAGGCACTAGTGCTTTCCAAAAGAGTGATGTTATACATTTTCCACAGTAACACCAACAATGGGAGACAAGCAAAAGGCAGAACTGCTTTGCAAAGAACGGCCTTTTTTCTCTCTCCAATATTTAGGTTTTTGTTTCCCACTATGATTGGACTTTCCTGGCTTTTTAGTTTCTTGTCCCAGTTAAGCAGTAAAGGAAACAAAAAGATATGAATGAAATTAGAAACATTTGGAATGAGTCTTAGAAATAGCTTTTGGGTTTCTTAGATTCCTGGCTACACCTCTTCAAATGGCCTCCTCCTCCAGCCCCCATCTCCTGCACCCACCTCTGAAATTCGCATTTCTTCCTTTGCCCTGACCCCTCTTCTGTTCAGGGGCTGTATTTTGTCCCACATCACTGAAACACTAAGTACAAAGCAAACAAGGAAATGAAAACTGCATGTTGAAACACTGGAAAAGACCAGAAAATGGCTGAAATTTTGCACCCATCAAAATTTGTCTCTGTGACACTAATCCTCCAATGTTTCTCTAGAAGCAGAAACCAAACACTTCTCCTCAAGCTTCTAATGAAAAAAAATACCAATTTTAGTCAACCTGAATAACAAAATGAGAACTCTGGTCCTACCTGTATTATCATATTTAAAGTCTCTGGAAGGGAAGTTTCCTCAACCACCCTACTCTGATACTTCATGAAACTTCATGCTCTCTATAAAATACATTTGCAGTATGCAATGCCAACACCCAATACTCGCCTAGCACTTCTCATTAGAAGTTTATGGTGCAAGCTGGGAGTGCCCATGAAATACTTGCCTAATTTTACAGATAGCTAAACCCATGCAGGTAAATAGCAGATGTCCATGGCAAAACTATGCACCAGTGGCAGAACAGAGAGTTAAATCAGCTAAAAGATTTCAAAGCCATCCACGGGGTTTGGATCTTTTCTGCCTTAAGTAATATTAAAATATTATGTAAACCTTTGTAAGCCATTACTGGAGAAATGAGGGAAAAAAAAAAAGGTCTCTTGGAAGAAATTCTGCACAGTTCTGCACAGGCTATGTAGGTGAGATCACAGTTGCTATACAGACTATGCATGGCAAGAACAGGCTTCCTGTAAAACTGAAAGACTTGCAGGAAGATCAAGGAACATATTTACAAGATGGCATGGACAAAATATCCTTCCCTCCTCTTGCCCAGCCTCAGCAACTTGGTGAAACACATTGTCTCACTTTCATCTAAAACCACACTCACAAATGCCTCCGGTGCAGAACCTCTACCTCCGTGCTCTGCACACTGACTCACAGACCCGACCACACTCAGGACACTGGTTAGCAGAACACAGAAATTACCTTTTGAGAAGGAAAGGGTCATTTCCCATGATGGAAAGGGTCATTTCCCATGAAGGAAAAGTTACCTCAGGAAGAGGAAACACCCAAAACCCCAAGACTTTGCCCAAGTCTTGATTCCAAATCCCAAAAGCATGACACTAGAAAATTTACAGCACTGTTACAGAACTGGAGACGATTTACTAGAGATTAAAATATTTTAAGCCACACTCTAGCATATGTTTACTCTATTCAGGCAAGCAATGAGTAAACTGAATTAAGATGAGCTATTTAGACATGTTAACATGTCTTTTCAAGAGAAAAGATGAGCCTTTATTTCACTGTAGTTTCTCTTATATTGTACTCTGAGTACTGGACAGTAATCTGGGGAATCTGACAGATCAACATGCACAAAGTACAGCAAAGGTGGGCACTCAACAGAGGCAGGTGCTGTTGCACATGGTGTGAGCTCCTCTGGAAAACAAGGCATAACTCCTGTGTGCACCCAGACCAGATCCAGGTTCAGGTGTCTCCCTCTGGATGCTGGCCTGGGCCAGTGTGTACCGGCTACGTGTACAGCACTACAGGCAACAGCACATTTATTGCTGGCAATATGAAAGCTAATATTTAGTATCAAGTTAAAGTCAATCTACCTTGGGACTCATCAAGAACAGTCTCTCAAGGTCTGATGGGTGAGACCAGAAGAGACAGTGGCCAGGTCTCCAACTGCAGGACTCCACTCAGCTACAATTCACACTACACTTACTAATAAAATTCATCTCTTTCTGGGCAGACAAGCCTCTCACTGTGAGGAAACAAAAAAGAAGACTCATTTGTGTTTTATTTTCCATAACTAGAACTCTCATGTTATCTCCATATGTGTTTAGACCACTGACTAGTTAGTCAGTGGTGTGGCAGTTGACATTAAAAGGATTAGTAAATTAAGCTCAAATAATTGTCTTAAAAATTTTGACTGTTAAATGTTTATATTTGAGAGGATCAAAAGGAAATCTACTTTGTAGTGTGCACTGTGGTCGGGAAGGGGCAGAGAGGGATTTAAATGGCTTAACTGCAAACCTGTTATCACCTTGATAAGTCCCAGTGTAATAATTCAGCAATAAAAGCAAGAAATGCACTTGGAATTTGTTTCCAAAACCGGTTGTCTGACTAGAGACAAGTCAAGCTCTTTATTTGCTAGAAGGAACTTGGTCAGAAGAAACAAAGAATGCTACTGAAATGTCGTGAAGAATATAAAATTAAGTACTTTCCAGTGTCTTCTGAACTACGGCATTCAGGGGTTTTTTTAAAGCTACTTGAAGCCTACAGCACGGATATGGTATCTGAGAGTTACCACTAGTCAATCAGGAGCGTGATTCTCCCCTGAATTATTCCATTGTATGACAATGAAAATCCAGTAAAGCTGAAGCAGCAAGGAGGCTGCAGGCTACAGTGCGGGATTAGGTCCAAAGTAACATCTGGAGTCTGGGTACAGATACAAATGGCTGCAGTTTATCAGCTTATCCACTCAAATTGCAAATGTCTATGCCAGTAACACAGATAAACTAAGAGGGAGAAGAGCTTGCTACATACATGCAGGTGCCTGTACCAGTGCAGTGCCTTGAGGAATCAGGTTCAGGGGGCTGTTTCACCTCAGCAGTATGCAAGAAAGCAATGAACCTGCCAACTGAGACAGGATGCTCTAGCATAAGCAAGGGTGGGGGAGGAACACACCATATCATCTTAATAATGCATTTATTGTTTTGCTTTCTTGCACATTCCTTTATTGCAAAGCGAGGTTCTGAACAAATTACTTTTCTTTTGACTTTAAATCTTTTCTAGTAAAGACATCTCTGAAACCCAACACTTTAAAGCACAGCAAATCCAAGAGTTTTGGGTTGCCTGGCAATGTCACAGTGTCTACCACCCAACAGATCATGGAGTTCCCAAAAGCTGGTGGGAGCACCACTAAGTTGCAGGGATGGCTAATATGAGGTGGGTAGACAGCACAGAGTTGCCAGGCTGCAGGGAGGGACTGCATTTGCCAGTTGCTAACCTGATCAAGAGCCGTCAAACTCCACACGACACTAGTTCTTCAAAACAGAGAAAAATGTTGAGACTAGACAGGAAAATGCAGGACAGTCTCTACCTGTGCTTAAGTTTCAAAGTAACAATGTCCAAGATCATTTGATCTGCCAGGCATTCAGAAAATCTCTGCTATAAAACTACCACTAAAATACGTAATACATTCCAGACAAAAACATAAAGCTTTCAGATTAGGTGCCAAACACCAAATTTTCAGTTTTCAATAGTTCTTTTGAGAAAAAGCCTCTTTGCCTCACAAAATACTTCTCCAAATAGCTGATCTTCTGGGTTTGTAGGTACTTTCAAAACCAGTTTTTTTACATGCTAGCACAGGTAACATGTATACAGTACATGTAATAAAGTCAGTGCCTTTTCAAAGTGCAATGAAAGAAAAACAAAATAGCACAACTCTGCACCAACCCAAGAAGGAGTGTCAGACTACACTTTTTGTCATTACCTTAAATCTCTTCTTTTGGCCAGCTCTCCTGGTGAGATAACCCAGGGCAGGTTCTGAGGAAGACATTCCAGGGCTTTGGGGGAAAAGTCAGAGAAATCCACACCATACTCCGTCAGGATCCCTTCTGTTTCCGGCTCAATCTCCCCAGCCTGCCCAAGACTTTTGGCCAGCTGCCTGCAGAAAGAAAGAAAGGGATGCTTTTTTTAAGTGTATAATAACAACTGTCATGTTGTTACTGTCCCCACAGAGAGGCTGTTGAGCCCTCAAACATACTCTTTCACCCATTCACTTCTCTCTGAGTTTTGGCAGAGGACTTAGCAAGAATTCAGACCATACCATGACTTATGTATGCTGGAGATGCAAAACATTAGCCAGACACTACCCTGGGCTGCTTCGTGCATCTCATTTTAAGGAGATGTTTTATATTATTAGTGTGCTGCAGAGGTAAGAAAGTGTCGAATTTTAGAAAAAAATACATCCAACAGGGAAAAGAAAAGCAGAGCCCTCCACAGAGGCAGTTCTAGTTTTTCACTTGTGTCTGGTTCCCTTGAGATTCACCTTCCTTTCCTCATCACTGAAAAAGGTGACTTACCTGTGCCACCCGAAATAGAGAACAGATTCCCACTCAATCCTAGACAGCCCCCAGGCTGCTCAGCACACTGCTTTCCATCCTAAAGGATATGCATCTCTGCCTGGGCAAACTGATGTCCTATGAAGACAGAGGTGCAAAGAACCCTTACTGCCTTCCTTACGGGAGTCACACACATAGACATGCCCACAGATCATCTTTCCAACCATTTTCGAGGCTCTTTTCAGGACCTAAACACTCCCAGTAGTTTGTCCCTCCTCTCCTAGCTAAGCAGAAGCCTCTAGAACAGGAGCTAACTGGAGAGCAGCTAATGATCTAGAAGCAAGTCACAGACAGTAGAAACTGTCTTCCACATGCTAATAGTTTTTGTTCAAGTATTCTGCACATGTGTGGATGAGGCTGCTGCTCTATTATGCTTAGAGAAAGTTTCCATCTGCTCCAGTGCAAACTCCAGTAGGTAACTGTCCGAGTGCTCTGGTGTCAAACGAGTGTTCAGCTCTGGACACAGCGTACAAACTGGGATTCCAAAGGAGTGGGACATTTGTTCCCTCCCCAGCTGGTTACAAATGCCACATGAGAACCTGTGTCCCAAGGTGGCTCCCCTTGTCCCCTTTCTCACCCCCTCAAATTGCTCTACAGTACATAGAGGTAAATTATTTTTTAATATACTGTCATTAGGGCAAATGGCACATTACAGCCAATAGAGACAACAGTTCTGACCCAAGAAAATTACAACTGAAATTAAGGCAAATCCATCAAAATATTACACAAAAGAGAGGGGTAATAACACAGTGCAAAACCAGCCACTCTAATAAGTGTTTTTCCACTGCATAAAATACACAATCATTATATTGATCCTTCTGCTTTAATTCCAATGAGTGAGAACAGGCACTAATTACTTTCCTAAATTGGGGCCAAAACAGTGCACTTGTCATTTGGACGAGCAAGATGCTCTCAGGGCTTCAAATGTGCCATAAAGCCACAGAACAAACCCCATCCATGCAGTGCAAGCAAGCCCATCTTCTTTATGGGAGCAAAGCTATCTCTCTTCACAACGGGAAGGGCTGCGTAATAAACCTGTCACATTGTGTAATATGCTGGAAAGGATTGCGCGCTTTGTGGCGTGGTAAATTGTGGAGTTCACATTGCCTAGCTTTAAAATAAAAATGAAAACAAGGATAAAAGATATTTCCCTCCATTGTTTCAATTTTATGTACAAACTGTACGGCAGAAAGACGTGCACGTTTGGCATTGAGGCCGAGTTGTCTGTTCCTACAGCTGGGTCCCAGTCTGATCTTTATTTTAATGTAAATAAACGAGGCATCAGTTTTATCTCCCTCTTTCTCAGCAGTAACAATAACCCAGAGAAATCACCACTTCATTTCCTACGTCTAGCGTGGAGCTGGGAGACTGAGCAAGGACGAGCCCATGGGTCTGCAGACCCACCAGCACGAAAAAAAAAAAAAAAAAAAAAGAGGAAAAGAGAGGACATGTTACCCTACCAAAAATAAATGGCAAGGGCTTGAGTCTCAGGTGCATCTACTCATGGAAAGGCAGAGCTGGGAAGTGCACCAGGAGGGCGGCTGGACGTCTGCACGACAAGTCATGGAAAGCACCTCTGAATGCCAGAGTGCTTTCCAGCTCAGTCTTGAAACCCATGTTCTCTTGATCCGTTTACTGAAATTAGATTACGAACCGTAAGGGGTTTACCCAGAGGTTTGATATAGGACTAATATTTTTTTAATAGTAATTAACATTTGATTTACAGTGTTCCAGGGAACATTTCCCAAGTACCTTGAAATAAAAAGTGTACAACTGACTTTAATTGGGGCCATGTTACAGTCATGCAGACATGATGACTTGCATCAGAGCAAAATCTGACAGGACAGCATGTGATCAAAGGTAACGCATATAGGATCACCGATGGCCCTGGAGTAACAGCCAGGCTGTAAAATCACTCATGGGGCTCCACAGCCACCAAGGGTAGCAAGAATAGTTCAAGAGGCTTAATAAACAACAACAGGCACAGGGCCCAGCAGCAGTCAGACGTTCACTCCCAGGGAGTCATGGTGTCTGTGACACACCAGGCTTGCGTGTATCTCTTTTTTTTAAATGTTAAAAGGTAAAAAAATTATAATGGTTACAGACGTAAAAACATTTCTGTGACGTTGATGACGTTGATGGAGGAGCATTACCTTGAATTCCTTGAATACCCCTGGACTGATGTCAGACATAGTGGTAGTGCGCACCAGCAGGAACAGGCCATGGTTAAAGTGTTGGGCAGCACACAGCACAGGGTATTCCTCCAAACCAGCCAGAGCTGCAAGCTCACTGACTGCTCCGAGCTGCCGATGCACCGGAGCTTGACCTCCCGTGTGCGTGCGCTCGGGGCAGAGCCGCGCTCCTGCTGCCATCTTCCCCTTCACAGTGACACTGATCGCATCTATTCAGCCACCCATTTCTACAAACATTCGAGCCCTCTCCGCTCCCCAGACTCAGCTGAAGCTGGCCAACATGTTCAAAGGTTACATGATAAGAACTCTCCAAAAAGACAAAGCATAATTGCATAAGGCCTGTTTCCTTTGGAAAGCCGGGCAGGCTCCCAAATGGGAGTGAATAACTTCCATGGGGACTTAACAACCTTACTCAGTCTCTCCTGGAGCAGATGTGTCCACAGTCATCCTACATGGAAGGTTTCTTTCAGCAGCAGGAGAACACCCTACACATCAGTAAGCCACCACTCCTAGAAGCAGCTTGTACAGGAGCAGGAGAGGGGACAGTAAGGAAGGCCACCTGGCTGCTCCCACCCCCCAGGGCCCGGAGCTCTCAGGCAGAACTGCACAGGTTTGATAAAGTCAAAAGGTCCCAGTGGTGATGGGGAGAGGGCTGCAGGGCTGAGCATCACAGAGACAGAGCTGTGTCACAGGAACCCCCAGCACCCAAGAGCACGGTCCAGCCCCACTCCACGCCACGGAGCTGCCTCCCTTCAGCTGCCAGGCCACTCACCATGGGAACATAGGAGCAGCACGGTGTTCCCCACACAGATGGGGTCACCCCACGCTTCAGAGCAATACGGTGATCAGCTGTGCCAGGGGAATGCAGCTTTACTGAGACACAGTCCTACCGACAAGAAGGTGTTTTTCCAACAGAGTTACACTGCTCGGGATCAGACCTTCCCTCAAGCCTTACAGTGAGCTACCCAAGGTATCTGGTCATTTCCCCTCATACCAAATACATTTGTGAACTATAAAAACCTGAATAAAACACCAGAGATGAAAGGAATCCAAGCCATTTGGATGGCTTTGGAAAGATCATCAAGTGAAAGAACATTCTGCAACATTTCATTTTATTGCAAATGCTGTGACAATCTTGTCACCTTGACAGACCAATATCTAAGGCCCTGAGCTCGAACAGCCACAAGCCCCAAGAGACACAGAGGGAGTCAGTGATTCAACGTTTTACTATTACTTTTTTTTTTTTTAATAGTCCAATCCATCATCATATGTGGGGGTAGAAAGGTTCCACCTTAACCACCTCCAAAAGAGCAGAGGCATCTGGACTAAGACTCCGAACAGCTGTGGACTCCAACACTGAAAAAAGGTTCCCAGAAAATAACTGTGTGGCAGTATTTGTAATATTTATCTGGAAAAGAACATTTAAGAGCTGCTTTTCCTTTACCTGCTACCTGAAGCAGGTACAGTTTAATGGCATTTCACTGGTAAAATCACTTCATATGCAGGAGGGAGCACAGCAGCACACACTCAGGGCAGTGCCAGTGGGACATGGAGCCATCAGTTCCTCCTTGCTCCTTTCCAGCACAGTCGGGGTGACAGGGTGGCCTTCAGAGGGGACAGTGTCTCACTGGTGACCACCAGGTGGCAATCACGACACAGAAACGCACCCCCCTCCCCAAAGGGACCTCCAGGGATTGTCAGGTTGCCCCTGTGCAGGTGACCACCGTGGATGGCCAATGCCACCACCAAACTCTTGGCCAGGTCATCCCACTGCTCCAGACACAGGTGGTTACTGTGAAGACCAGACTATTCCATTAACTGTGCTTGGAAACCTGGCATTGAACTTCCCAAAGGAAAAGCTTAGGAAGGTGTATGACCAGCCTGGGAGCTGCAGGATGGACACAACCAAGGCATGCAGGGGAAATGACTGCCAACTGTGGAGGGAGTTTCCCTCGTCGTACTTCCAACAGACTACAGATGGTGTAGAGCGACGACCTCCAAGCTCTTTAGTCCAGAGACCTTCAAAACTGTGGTGGTGCTGCTAAAGAGGTATCATGAAGTCTGTGGGTAGAACTAAGGGCTGCACAAGAAAGTTCAAAAAATGCAAGCATGCAATGATCTGCAGATCACCTGCTCTTCCCTCCTTCAGGTGGGCCACAACTAGCATCACATCTCATAAACAAGCTTATAAACCAGCCCAAAAGCAAACAGAAACTTTTGGGACCTCCAAGAGGTTTCATTGCCTGTCAGTGTTTAAACAAATATATACTTATAGTTAAAAACAAAATGGGTCACCAAGGTTTTATGCTCCCATCTCCACAAGGCACTTACTGAAGTGCAACCAAGTCCCAGAGGAAACAGCTATGTATGAAGACAATCACGGACGTTTTCTTTCCTGACAACACCCTTTACATCTTGGAAACTACCAAAACAGCCAGACGGGAATATACAACATTTTCAGAAGCACAGATTAAAGATACACACATTAGCCAATGAAAAAAGACATTAGCCCATCCTCCTAACTTCCCCTGTTTCTGCTGAAAAGGGGGGGTTGTTCATGACAAGAAGCCAAGCAGTACAATCACCCTCCAGTCTTTTCTCTGTTGGAGTCAAAGAAGACAAAGAAAATCTCTGCCAATAAGAAACTTAGTCACAGTGAAGTTCATAGCACAGCCAGCCCCTAGTTAAGCGGGGCTCAAAGGGAGGCCACTTCAGTTCATGCACTGCAGTTTAGCTAGGAAATACTGAGTGACTTAATGGCTCATGTGGCTCTCAAGGAGTACACGTGAAACTTGCTATTACTGGGCTCACAAAGGAGAACACAACTGATAAAAAACTTAAACTCAGGGAAACAGGGACTTCAGCTTAGTTTACTTTTAGTTCTAGGGCTGATAGATCTATGCCAACATACTTACTCTTTAAAAAAAAAAAAAAGTTTTATGTAAGTTTTAACCTTCAACAGGAGTTTGAGTTGAGCACTCCAAAACCCACAGTGTTGACACTGTATGTCAGTTGTGCTACCCCATCAGAACAGCTTTGCAAGGGTCAGAGAAAAGTTGGGCTTTATGCTCAACTCCCACTACCACACATGCTCCAGATTACATACAGATGCCCATCACCTGCAAAATTTGATGACAGCATTGCCATAGGTCAGAGTTACCTACTCTAGAACACCAACTAAATCCGGACTACTCAGTTTTTCCCAGCATAACTGGGATTATGTTGGAAAACTGGGATTCATCAAGGTGCACCATTTCTTTTTGACACCCACTCAACAGAAAACAGCATGGCCACTCCACTGCAGCTGTTCCCGAGAAAAAAGTGAAAATACTGAAAACTACAGGGTCTTTCTCGTGGAGAGGCAACACAAACTTGCAATCTAGATCCAGCCCAGCATAGGTCATTTGTGTAGCCCTTGCTTAAAATCTCCTTCATAGCAGTGCCTGCAATTTGAACTCTGGACACAATGGCTTTACAGTACCTCCTGAAACACAGAGCATGGCAACACTCTTCTCAACTGCTTCAGGAGATCTTTTGATTTCTAGCATCCCTCCTTGAAGCAACACAAAATTTAAAACCACAAAAATCTGTGACTTCTTTCTAGTTCTTATCAGTTAAGGTTTAAAAACCAAAGATGAGCCCCGCAGCTACTGATTTTCTTCTTCTGGCAACAGTGAAATGCATACACACTGTGTACTACTCTTACACAAAGGGAGAAAAGACTGAAAGGCTGCCAGCACCTGAGGGTGCTTGTGCTGGTGAGTCTAATACCCTGCGTGTTCCCTCCGGACTGCAAGCTCTTCAGAGCAAAGACTGTGTGCTCATTACTGCTGCCATGTGCCAGCACACTGAAACAAGCACCAAAAGAAACTAACATTATGTAGCCATGAGATGAACTAGTAACAAGCTATCCTTAGCTTCATCACAGTTTATCCACCAAATACAAGAGGGATACAAGACAAGCATCTTGTTAACAGATTCCTGTCTGTATTGCATGTATCAAATCAAGCGAAACCAAGAACTCCCAACTATAAATCTCAGCCATCTCTACTTCCAATGGCAGCCACATACCCTGTTGCAAAGTTGCTGTCTTCTTTCCAGTCCACTATGCGACAGATGAAGAGCATATTTGAATAGTCCTCGGGCCTGGTCACGAAGTCCTGAGGGCAATCAGCCAAGGATACGTAGGCCCTGGGCACTCTGTGGTCCACAGGTGAGAACATGGCACACCTTTTGAAGAGTTCACTGTTCTTGTCTGCCAGAAGCTTGATGAAGCCTGTAGCTGCTCGGGAATGTTTCTTTTCCAAAATATAGACCACCTGGAAGAAGCAAAGTTTTCTACAGTTAATACCTTCAGAGAAACTTATTTTCTTTAACAGAATAGGAATACACAGAGGCTTAGCAGAATATCTGGAAAAATCACAAGGCCTATATCATGTTTTCCCTCTGTGTGTATATGTGTGTGTGCATTTTTTAACTGAGTACCTATTTACAATGTATTTTCCTTGCCATCTTGCTCATGGCTATAGAGGAGCTAAGTGCCTTCCAAGTGCTAGCTCTCTACAGCAATTTTCTTGATTACAGAACAAAACCAGACAAGAAGCAGATGCTTCCAAAGGCAGGGAATTAGCCACAACATACAAGCAACTCCTGTAAAATCTTTCTTTTGTATCCTCGGCCTGTGATTTCAACATTCAGTGCACAACAGGCCAGTCCAAAAATGGTACCGCTGGCGGATCCAACACTAACCACAGGAAAGGATGTGCTGTGGGGAATTTGGCAGTTCTCTCCTCCTCTCTGTGCTTTCTGAAGTTAGGGGTTATTTTACCTTTATACAAGATGGCTTTGAAAAGAATAATAAATTACAATATCACTAAATAATTGTTCCAGAGAGGTGTTCATCCAGGCTATATTTTTGTAGACCATAATAAATCACTGGATAACAGAAACATTATAGCTGATTTCCTAAGCTTATACAGAAGAGTTCTTCCAGAAGGTTTCAGAAGCTGCACCTCTGTGTGATTCTGAGCGCTTGTAATTGCCATGCTGGATGAGACCAGAGGGCAGACCAGCCCACAACAGGGACCAGAATCAGAGGTTGACACAAGATGTTGAAGAGACCTGACCCAGCCTGACCCAGTAGTCCTTGTCTGGTCTCTTAACATTCAGATTGACTCAAATCTTGAACCAACGGCACTAGCAGCCTTTCCAAAATCTGTAAGAATTAATTCTGACAATTTTGGATAGCCTGACACTCATACTAGTATCCAATCTTTTTCCTGAATCTTGCTAAGTAATTTTGCATAACAAACAAAGGGAATTTAAACTAGGATAATTGGTAAAAATAACAAGACACTTGATTTTTATCAGATTGGACAATTACTCTCTTTGAAACAGGGAATGAGACTCAAAGATCAACAGATGGAGACTACAGGGAGGCCAGGGCTGGTCTCGTTCAGCCTTTGGGAGCACACACGTGCTCGTCTGCTACTCGCCACAGAGTTACCTTGGCTGTCCTTTGAAGAAACTTATCTGGGAGGAGCCTGGGATCATTCACCTTGGGTCCATCATCTTGCTTTGTTCTGTGCACACCACTGATCCCAACAGCATTTGCTGCATCAAAAAAACACAACAGTTACTGTAGCACACTTCCATGGCAAATTCATGTTGGGTCTTTGCTGTAAACTACAATCTGCATGTAGTAGACTTGTTTGAAAGGAAAAAGAGTGTTAGAATAGCCAAGCATGAACCAATTATTATTTCTCCAGATTACGGCAGAAAGCAGATATATGTTCACTTACCATGCAGATCTGCTGAAAAACAAGAATCAAAATAAATCCCAACTTTACAAGTAGAACTATACTAGCCATAATAAAGAAGATGGTGGAAAACACATTCTGCTTATTAAATACTAAGAACTACATGAATTTCCTGGCATTTCTTAGTTGAAGTAATTAACATCATATAAATAGTCCTTTAAGTACATTCATTCATTTAATATTTATCTTCCTTCAAAAATATTATGCAAGGTTATAAAATGCATGTTAATCTTTAAAACTTAAACCCTATCCACTTAAGCTGACCCTCTTCAGCTGTGGACCAGGATTATGAAAAAGTCTTATGAAAGTAATCACTATATATGACAAAAAGCTCCCTCCCCCTGAAATCTCTTGACCAGATACCGATAATATTTAAATCAACTGTCAACTAATTTCTAGTTTGCAGTTTTCAACTATTCAAGTATCTGCTATAGACGGCTGGCACACTGGATGCATTTAGTGTTTACAAACATCCAAAGTGATCTTTGCCATGGAGAAGGCTGGGACTGGTCCCTTCTTGAGCTGCATCCCTGCTGAGAGTCTGTGGTTACTGCGCTGACAGCATTTTTCAGATGCAAACGTCCATGTGCTCTTGTCTGGAGGGCTCGTGGAAGATAGCCGCTTTTTTCCACTTGTATGGCAATCACATCCATCTCATGCACATGTGCCAAAACCAGGCCTTGAGTGTTCAAAAGAAATTTTGCTTTCTTAAAGAGAGACCGTGGCACTAACTGCAAGTTTCAAGGGACGTGGCTGTCACTGTTTCCCTTAGAAGACACGAGATAGAGCAACGTTTGGCTGAAGACTGTGCTCCAGAGGCCAACGGCGCTCATGAACGTGAGAAAGCCTCAAAGGAGAACAGTGGTGACAGGCAGACCCTGGCCCCCAGATGACACCCATCTGTCCCACGGGGACCCTCAACAGAGGCTGCTGGTGACATGAGGGATGAAGGGGGCTGGGCTGTGGGAGGGGAGGCTGCAGCTGCCAGCAGCACGCAGCAGCGCTGGGTTGCTGGGGACCTGTGCTTGAGGGGAGCTCGGGTGGCAACAGGGAGCAGCAGCTTACCCCGAGGGGAACGGCTGTGCCCCACCACCGCGAGGGCATGTTCACAGATGGTCCTGCCGCTGCGGATGGCCTGGGTTGCCTTCGGGCAATGTCACCCCAGCAGTCGTTTGACAATGACAGCTATCGCTCTAATGACAAACTCTGGTTCTCATATGCCGCTAATGATCCCCAGCTTTGCCTTCTCCCCAGAGATCATCTTTTTCAGAAGAATCTAAGTGATTTTAATCTTATTTTATCTTTACTGACTTGCTAGCAAGGCTGAGAGGAGAATGGACAAATATTCAGGAGTTTAAGTAAAAATCTACTTTCCTAAAAAACCCAGCAGTAGTAGCAGCAGCAAACCCATTTCCCTTTTACTTCTACAGAAATGAACTCAGATTTACCACAACCAGCGTTACTAAGGGATAAAACTACCCAGAGTTTCATGGTGACAAGCAAGTTGGGGAAAAATATGGCTCAGATAATTATAAACAGTTTAAAAAGTGGGGATACCCAAGTTACCTCATTTGCTTAGCTCCTCTAAGGTCTTTGCCAGCTAAAGGTCATACCAAGCAATCAGTTAGTAAAGAATAAAAGCAAGCAGCCATTTTGTTTTCTTATAAATTTTCAAGCCATCAGTTAATAGTCATAGGTTTACAGTGTGCCAACCATAAAGACAGCTAGGAGAAAGAACAGGACAATCGGAAACAAAGAAACACTGGCAGGGGCAGAGGACAAGGGTAGGTTGGGAGCCTTCCAAAGGCCATGCCTTCAGGCACACCTGCCACAAGCCCAGGGCTTTACTGGAGTGAGCGGCACATACTGGTTGGAAGAGAAACCAGACCTAAACATGTTGGGGAAAAAAGCCAGAGGTGCGTTCACTGCTTTCCCAGTGTAGCAGAACAACAGCAGCGACTCAAGGTCCAGCAGGCAAGAATGAGAAAAGCACCAGGAACCATGCGAGGAAAATGCCCTTGTTAGCACTGCCTTCTTTCCACTTATCCTTCCAACTCCCATTTCTCCAAAATGTCACTTGCATTTTTTTCACTGAAGCAGCTTTCCCTGTCAACAAAGGAGTCAGTGATGTCCCTGGGAGGTATCCCATACATGCATGCAAAAGCACAGAGGCACCAGGAGGGAGCTGTCATGAGGAGCACAGCAAACGGGTGACCAGGATTCCTTTGCCTGGGATGAAGAACATGCAGGGCTGGTACTGCCCCCATCCTGCTGAAGCTGAGCCCCATGCGAACAGTACAGATACCAGAAAGCATCTAAATTCTCACTGTGGCACATGGTAGAAACTTGCCTTTTTCCCTCACAGCCAACATCACGGAGGGGCTTTTGGCTGGCTGGAGAGCACCTTCTTCTGCAGCAGTCTCTCCAATTTCAGTATCCCCCCCCCTCCAAAATCCTGGGATTATTAGAGACTCCAGATGACAGAGCCTAGGATCTATAACTGTGCCATCAACAGAAAGAAGGAAGCAAATCTCAGCCATTACTTATTCCTTACCCATCTTTCTTAATCAACTTTAGTATCTAAAAGGTCATCACATACATTTACTAATGGGGAACACTCCTGAAACAAGGGACAGGGAAGAAGACACACAAGGAACTCTGTACTCCTGGGGACTTCTCTATGGCTTGTACCTGCTCCTTATGAAGTCAAAATTCTGTTGGTACTGGGGCTACGTCTAATGCTCAGAGGTCTATAATAGCAGAGCACCAGCAACATGGGTGCCCTGTGACAAACCTCTTTGCTCAGAAGGGACAGTGACCCAGACCCAACGTCCACCTGACTCTGTGGTCAATTTACCTCACAGAAACCTCAGGCTCAAAAGTGATAATCTGCTGAGACAGTCTGGTACCCAAGTCCCCTAATTACACTTCTGACAGTCCCTCTCCTTCACTGCACATCCCCCTTCCCTCCAGTAAATCTGGAACTTGGTGACTGGGCAGAGTGGATAGGTATCAGGGCCCCGCCAGAGACTGGTGGTCTACAGCAGATCTGAGCTGGGAGACACAACATCTCCCAAAACAGGGCTGAGCCACTGAGACAATCCTAAAGGAGAGTTAACTTGTGAGAGAAGAAGGATTTCGAGCAGGGGAGGTGGGAAGAAACTCCTTGCATTATGCCAAACTAAAAATGAATTATTCTGACCCCTTTACTGCAGTGGTTATCCAATGACCATTCAATATTTCCACCCTGGGCAAAGACATGTTTTCTGAGAAAGATTTACTATGTTAGCTTGGGCAATACTTCATAAGCTTATCTTACAGTGAAAACACACTTCAGCAACTAGGATCCAGTGAAACTGCATTATAATTTCAGTGTTTTCCTTTCAGCGATTATCTGACAAACCAAAACTGTAATAGTCTTACTTTTAAAAAAATTAGGCACTAGATACAAAAAGCAACTCAAATTAGTTATGTTATTACCAACAAAGTAGATCCAGGACACTTGGAATTTGCCTCCCTTTGTAAGAGATCAGTTTAGGCAGCTTCAGTACACACTTATATTTGCCTGACAGGCATTCCTAGGTCAAATGTTATTTCTTTTAAAGCCCCCCAAATTTCCTCTTACAATTAAATTACCATGACATTAATAGGTGGCCAAAGTGGAGCAAAAGTCATCAGGCTAGAATTCTGATTACTTGTGACAGATCCAAAATTATTTTCACTAGGCTTGCATTGGTCACTGTGGAAATTTGCAATTCTGTCCAAAAAGAATACAATTAAAGATGCAATATCCACTTGCAAATGAAAATATATCACAGTTTCAGATCTCAAAAACAACTCACTGGAAAAAAAAAAAAATCTCCCTCCCTGGATGGAAAGAAACAAGTTTTTTTTTTTAAAATAGTTCAATGTTTGCTACTTCAGCTAGGAAAAAAAAAAGCCTACTTGAGTAGTGAGTTGGCTCACTCTACATGGGCATATCTAAGAATCCCATCAGAAGGCATTATTGATATGAAGCTTTTAAAAAAGAAAATAACTGCTCCTCAGTTTTCTGCTCACATACCAGCACATCTGTAAACCGTTCAATAGCAAAGTCTACTACTTACTAATGAAGAAACAACACTTAGGTTCTCTGCTGTCTGCTTCAATAATCAGTTTTCAGCATATTCTGGTTTTGTACCAAATACATAAGGGAAATAGTGTAAAACAAAACGATTTATTATAAATGTCTCAAGGACTGTGTGTGACACTCAAAAAGGATGTGTTTTTGGAAGTTCTATCAATACAAGAAGCACATGGAAATTAAAACTTGCTTCTACCAAAACGCAATACATTCAAATGCATGCGCAGATTCGCCCTGGGTCACACTATTCTGCTACAATCTTCATTTTTAGGGACAGTAAGAAGGAAACACATTGCTGTTTAGAAGACAGAACAAGGGCTCTTCACATTCTGCCACTGATGTTTATTGGCACAGAACAGGTTTTTCCTCTGGAACATGAAACTGATGGCAGGAACCAGTGGTTGACATCATAATAGTTGGTCCTCCCTTCACCAAGTAAACCAAAATGTAATTTTTTGAGGATCAAGGCAAACTGATCTGATTTCTTAGAAACACCTGTCCCTAGCTGGATGATTTCAGTTCCTACAAAGTTATTTTGGTACCTACAGAGGTAGGAGCTCTGAACTTCTGACCTTGGCAAATTTCTTCTCCATAGAGTCCACAGTACAGAGGTCCAAGGGAGCTCTCTCTGAAGTCTCACCTAGTAAACCAAAGAAACTCTCCTCCCTACC